AAATCTAAAAAATGTTCTTTAGATAAAATAGATTGTAGTTTTCTTCTTTTTTTTTGACTCAAATAAAAAAAAACGAAGCGAAAAAAGGAAGGAATAACTCTACCACCGTTGAAAGAGGCTTCTTTTGGATGGTCATTCTGAGTAGCTACTGGACAGCTTATAAACTAAAATCCCATGTTCATGAGATCATCAAAGCAATCAAAATGTGAAATCTAGGACATGCCAACCACTAAGAAAATACTTTTGGCATTCGCACGGATTGAGCCTGGGTATTTCACGTGACAGCGGGAGAGATTCACCACTGTACTGTGAAGATATTATACATCTAAACATGTGCTTAAGCATCTAAGCTCCAGTGGAACACCTCACATGGTGTGCTGTTGGGACAATAACGTTTCGTCCCCGTTTTAAGAAAAACTACGAGAATTGACAAGGTAGAATACTCGGCTTGGAGAATTTTAAGCCTGGAACTTCACATGGAACCCCAGTTGGAATGCCAGCACCACTCGCCACGAATCTTTAGTCGGAGAAATCTCGTCTTCACTACTTGTATTGAAAATGGATTCTTTGCGCCGGCTAGCAGAGAAATTGGTTCGCTGGGATTGAAAGCCTGTCACACAACACAAGATACTCTAAGAGTAAACTTTAAGACTTTGAAAACACGAACCTCGAAAAACTGGTGCTACAAATCTCGGAAATCGATCCATGCCCCGTGGAGCTTTTCGTTGGAGGATCACCTCCCTCGCAGGGAAGTTTTTCCACTGGCTAAGAAAAAGCATATAGAATCCTCTACAGTTTCCCGCAAGAAAAGTTCGATTCCTATGAATCGGTCAGCATCATTAAACAAGCAGGGAGTGAAAAAAGGAGGAGTCCATCGAGGCAAGTAGCAGCAAAGACGACAGTGACGATATAAAAATGGCTGCGGTCTCGCAAAAGAAGTGCCGCACAAAGCAAGCATCAGGATGCAAAGTCGTCTTTGAGAGATACCTGGAGTGATTGGAAGCTATAGCTTAGATGGCAAGGAATGATAAGATTTCGTCGCACAAGCGTGGCTCGACATCATCATCCTCACTCTCTTCTTCCTCGGCCGCCGCCGCGGCAGCAGCAGCGGCAGCAGCTGCGGCTTCAACTGGAGCCACTGCAGTCACAGCAGCAAAACGCACTGTCGAATGGTAGCAATTGATCGGAGCTTACTTTGTCTCTCATTGTGTTCTTGCCTTCCAGGGTAATGACATCAGATGTCCCAACAGATATATCCGTGGAAGTTGCCGGTACGAGCTTTGCACTCCACAAGGTGGGTGAATTCATACACGATGGTCCATTATCTCCTATACATTCCAGCACCATTAGCAATCACAGAACTCCCACAAAACTATTGAAGTTTTCTCAAACTTGCCTGTTTAATGTGCTAACAGTTCCCACTTGTGTCACGGAGTGGAAGAATACGGAAGCTGGTTGTGGAGACAAGAGACTTAGATCCATCACAAATCAAGTTACTGGAAATACCAGGTGGTGCAGAAGTATTCGAGCTGGTAGCCAAGTTTTGCTATGGAATCAACTTCGAGATTACCACTGCAAATGTTGCGGTCTTGAGGTGTGCTGCTCACTACCTCGAAATGACTGACGATTACGGAGAAGGAAACTTGGTGGTCCGCACCGAGACATACCTCAACGAAGTCGTCATTCAGGATTTCTCTGTATCGCTAGCTGTATTGCACAACTGTGAGAACCTCGTCCCATTAGCAGAAGAGCTCAAAATTGTGAGCAGATGCGTTGATGCGGTAGCAGCTATAGCCACGGCCTCGCTACCTTCAAGAGAGCAACTATCTTCAAGCATGGAGTACAACGGCAGCTCGGGATGGATTGACAGCCAAGTTCAAAGCTGTAAAACAGATCACTGGTGGTCAGAAGATCTGGCAATTCTGAGAATCGACTTCTACCAGCGTACCTTAGCGGCAATGATGTCCAGAGGTTTGCTGCACGAAAGCATTGGAGGAGCGCTGATAATCTACGCTCAGAGATACCTCAAAGGCCTCAACATGAAGCCCGTGACTAGTCACAACAAAACGAAACTAGCGCCAGCAGCAACGGCTCACGACTCTGGTATTCCTTCAATTCTGGAGCAGGAACAACGAGCATTAGTGGAAACACTTACAAGCATGCTACCTTGCGAGAAGAACTCTATAAGCTGCAGCTTCCTCTTTGGCTTGCTTCGCTCGGCCATAATTCTAGACGCATCCATCAGCTGCCGCATCGAGCTGGAGCAAAGAATAGGAATGCAAATGGATCAGGCAGCACTGGACGATCTACTCATACCATCCATGTCCTTCACTTGCGACACCTTGTTCGATGTGGACGTCGTCCAAAGACTGGTGATAAACTTCCTCCAGCACAAGGAGAAGGAAGACTCTCAAGCCGGCGGCTACGAATCTGAGAGTACCAGTCCCCCGTCACAAAGCGCAGCCATCAAAGTCGCAAAGCTCATAGACAATTACCTCGCGGAGATTGCTCCCGATACAAACCTCAAGCTCCTCAAGTTCTACGCTCTGGCCGAGCTCGTCCCGGACTACGCAAGAGTTGTCAACGATGGATTGTACCGAGCAATCGACATCTATCTCAAGGTGAGTAAAACAACTCAAAGTTTTTTTTAACTTACGTGCTTTGTTCTTCAGTGTGTTCTAACAAGTAAAAAAAAACGTTTTTCCTCGCTTGTCCGCTTGAACAGGCCCATTCCAACCTTTCGGAGGGAGAAAGAAAAAAAATCTGTAAGCTCATGGACGTCCAGAAGCTATCGCAAGAGGCGTGCTCTCACGCAGCGCAAAACGAGAGATTACCTGTTCAGGTGGTCGTCCAGGTGCTCTACTTCGAGCAAGTGAGGCTCCGGGCAGCGATGGCGGCGTCCATGATGGAGGGAGACAACCTTGGGCATTTCCACCACAAGCTTGGCAGCGGTGCCCTCAGCGCCGCCATCTCGCCCAGAGATCACTACGCGTCAATCCGGAGGGAGAATCGCGAGCTCAAGCTGGAAGTCGCGAGGATGAGAATGCGGCTTACCGAGCTGGAGAAGGAGCACGTATGCATGAAGCAGGAGATGGAGAAAACGAGCTCCACGGCGCACAACTTCCTACATTCCGTGTCGAGGAGGCTGAGCCGATTGAATCCTTTCGGATCGAGGAATCAATCGCACGTCGCGGCGCCCCAGACGCCGGATTCGCGCGTCTCCAGCCGGAGGAGACGCCATTCCATCTCGTGAATGTAAAACCCTAGAACACTGCCCCCAAAATTTTCAAATTCTAGGGCTCTTTTAGAATCCCTCTCTTCTCTTTCGGATCAGTGCGCATTGCGGGATCAATCTGAGCAGCATTTCTACTCCATAGCTCTTGTTTGTGTGGATTTTACAGCGCTTTTCGGCGATCTGGCCCCCTAGATCGTCAAGAAAAGGGAAGAGCTCATTCTAGGGCTTCTCTTTCGGATCAATGCAGCATCTAGCTCTTCTTTCTGTGGATTTTACAGCGCTTTTGGAAGATCTGGCCACTAGATCCTCAAGAGGAATGGTCTTGGACAAAAGATCTATCGCGGCCGTATCGAGAGGAACATCATAAACGATGAAAGGAGTTATCCACGAGGCGGTAAAAAAACTCTTTTCTTTCTTTCGTAGTTCCTGTTCTTACAAGTAGCACACCCTTGCAGCAAAGAGTGGTGAAACTCAGGTAAAAAACATCTCTGTGCTTTTATGTCTCAGGTGAATCTCAAAGCCAAACTTCTTTTAACGTCTCCCTGTAGGAATCTCGCAGAGAAGAAAGCAGCGAGCGAGTTTCAGCGCGATTGTTCTTCTTAAGAACAGTCGACTCTCGTTTTTTTCTTCCTCCATGAAAACTTCGCACGGAGTCTTTGCTGGTCATTATCCGAATTTCCGAAAGATCTATCACAACACAGCAAATGGAGGGATATGCTCGGCCGGTAATTGCTTGTCTTTATTTTCTCCCTTGTGCTCCAGTGTTCTCACTGGATTGTTTTTTCCTCTCCAGCTTAACGACAAGATTAGCAGCATCTTAGTCCTCCACTGTTTGGAGCTGTGCTTCCTTATATGTATCCAATCCAGCCGCGCATGGAGAGGTAAAACACTCGCCCTGTGTTTTCAATCCTTTTTTTTAGTTCCTCGCAAGCGCACAGGATGCAAAATCAAAACAATCACTTTGATGTGATGCCGGAAGTCATTCTTCCGGGATTCAGGTTCCATCCCACTGACGAGGAGCTCGTTGGGTTTTATCTCCACCGGAAAGTCCAGCACAAAACTCTGCCGTTCGAGGTGATCACGCAGCTGGACATTTACAAGTATGATCCATGGGATCTCCCACGTAAGTTTGCTTTCTCGTTCGGGTTTGTCGGTGATACTAACTTGGTTTTTTCTTCTTTTGTTCTTGCCAGACATGGCGGTCTCTGGAGAGAACGTCTGGTATTTCTTCTGCTTGAGGGATCAAAAGTATCGAAACAGCACGCGGCCGAACAGAGTGACCAAGGGGGGATTCTGGAAAGCAACGGGCCCGGACCGTGCCATCTACACGAGCGACGGATCCAAATGCATTGGCCTCAAGAAATCTCTGGTTTTCTACAAAGGCAAAGCTGCCAAAGGCACCAAGACCGACTGGGTGATGCACGAGTTCCGACTTCCAGTCCTTGGTTCTACCAAGGATCCATCCAAAAAACGCCCTCCAGTCTTTGAGGTACTGGAAAGTTCTCTTCTCTCTCTTTTTTAAGCTAGTTCACTGATCACTGGCATCGTTCTTCCAGGAATCCTGGGCTGTTTGTCGCATTTTCAAGAAGCGCTCCATGGTGAGACGAGCTCCATCAAACTCCTGGACCCCGGATCTCCCCGCAACAGACAAGCCATCGCTCGAGTCTCCATCGATTCCACAGCAACAGCAGCTCAACGCGATCAAGACTGTGCTTGTTCCACTTCCAAGCCTGGATTGCGAGAGTTTCATGGACACGACCAATCCTTTGGTCGATAGCGAGGAGAGCCCATCGTGCTCGACGTTTGGATCCAGTGCTTCTTCCTCGTCTTCGTGGGAATTGTCCGCTCTTATGGACTTGGTAGCTTCATAGCTTGCCACATCCATCCATCATAGTGTACATTCTATACTTTAAAAGCACGCTTTTCCTTTGCCCTTTAGTCGACCTTTATGTTAAAAAGTGCCAAAACCTTCCCCTGTTTCTAGGGCTAGGGTTTTGCAGCTTCTTCCAAGTTCTTTCAGGGGGGGACTCTTTCTTGCGGCTATGGTCGGGAGTGGAAGCCCTGAGATTCAATCCGCCGGGATCTCGTCATCAGACGACGACGAGGATTCCACGGCTGGGGTGGATTATCTGCGCCGGCGGCTCAAGCGATTGATCTCCAGGCACGATTCCTTGGAGGAGGAGGCCGCGTATTTTCCATGGATGCATTCTCACAATCAGGTCAGTCGCGGATTTCGAATCTATAGCTGCCGCATTTCCTGATCGATGCGCCTGCGGCATTTGCAGTCTAGCTCTGGATTGCTGCTCTTCAAGCTCGCATTCCAATCGATTGGAGTCGTCTATGGCGACCTTGGGACGTCGCCATTGTACGTCTTTAGCAGCACTTTCACTGGCGGGCATATCCCAAATCCGGAGAAGGATATCGTCGGGGCCTTGTCGCTTATTCTCTACACCTTGCTTCTCATCCCGCTTTGCAAATACGTGCTTGTGGTGCTGCGAGCAAACGACAATGGCGAAGGTAAGCGTGAACAGTTCTTCCAGAGATTCTAAAAGAAATTTCTGTGTTCGTTCTCGTATTTTCAGGTGGTACCTTTGCACTGTACTCTTTGATCTCTCGGTATGCCAAAATCAGCGTGGTTCATCCCACAGATCGTCAGCTCTCGACTTATAAGTTGCAAGTTCCTAGCAAAGAGCTGGAACGGGCCCTGTGGATCAAAGAGAAGCTCGAGAACAGTGGGCTTCTGAAGAACTTACTGCTCCTTATCACGTTAATTGGAACCTGTATGATCATAGGAGATGGAACACTTACACCAGCGATCTCGGGTACGTTTTCTTTGCTGGTAATTACAGACGGGATTGCTTTCTCTGTTTTTGTTTGCTTTAGTTCTATCTGCTATCAGTGGTCTGAAAGTGGCAGTACCAACTATGGACCAAAGTAATAATTTCTCCACAATGCTTTTATGTTTGGCATTAATTCTTTCTTTCGTGCCTGCAGATGTCGTTGTTATTGTTTCCATTGTGGTCCTGGTTATCCTCTTCAGCTTGCAGCGTTTTGGAACGTCAAAAGTGGCGTTTCTTTTTGCCCCTGCTCTGCTGTTGTGGTTTCTTACAATTGGTGTCATTGGACTCTACAATTTGAGCAGAGGAGACATGAGGGTCTTCCAAGCTCTCAATCCGTGGCACATCTATCTCTACTTTAAGAGGAACGGGAAGGTTGCATGGATATCTTTGGGAGGAATTGTCTTGTGCATTACAGGTAGCCATAATTGTGTTTGCCAAGACGTTCTGTTTTGATTCGGTTCTCCTGTAGGAACCGAAGCTATGTTTGCTGATCTTGGCCACTTTTCTGTGAAATCTATTCAGGTCTCAGGGCACGGAATGGCCTTTTCTGGGATGTATTCAGAAAGCCTCAGTGTTTACTGTATCTTTCAGTTTATACTAAAGCCGGAACTAAGTTGTCTTCTTTTTGTGCAGATTGCGTTTACAACAGTGGTGCTTCCGTGTTTGCTTTTAGCCTACGGTGGACAGGCTTCGTATCTTATAAGAAATCCCGAACATGTGGGCGAGGCATTTTACAAATCGATTCCTGGTATACACGTGTTGTTTTCGTAGAGTGTAGTATTGACGAACATTTTTTTTTTCTTTTTTGAAGGTCCAATCTTCTGGCCTGTATTCGTAATAGCAACTATGGCTGCTGTTATTGCCAGCCAGGCTATGATATCAGCAAGTTTCTCCGTTATGAAGATGGCAGAATCAATGGGATGTTTTCCTCGGGTGCATATTCTTCACACGTCAAAGCGGTTTCCAGGGCAGATTTATATACCTGAGATAAACTGGCTTATCATGATCCTGACTGTAGCTCTCACGGCAGGATTCAAGGACACGACTCAACTTGGAAACGCATATGGTAAGTTCGTTTTTCTTGTATGAATTTGCCTTGCCAAACGCATACTTTCTCCAGGTATTGCCGTGGTTGCCACGATGTGCGTCACAACTTCTTTGGTCACTCTCATCATGTTAATGATCTGGCAGATCAATGTCCTCGTAGCACTGGGTTTTTTCCTTCTGTTCGGAACCATTGAGCTGGCGTACTTGTCATCTGTTCTTTTCAAAGTCACGGAAGGTGGATGGGTTCCACTAGTTCTCGCAGCCGGTCTCCTCTTCGTCATGTACATATGGCACTACGGCACGAAGATGAAGCACAAGTACGAAGTGAGGCACAAGCTTCCAATGGACTGGATATCTCAGCTGGGCTCCAATCTCGGGACAGTCAGGGTGGCCGGCTTGGGACTGGTGTACAACGAGCTCGTCCATGGCGTCCCGGGGATTTTCCACAGGTTTATCACTTACCTCCCTGCAATTCACTCGGTGCTGGTGTTTGTCTGCATCAGATACGTGCCAGTCGCGACGGTTCCTCGCGACGAAAGGATAGTGGTGAGGCGTATCGGCCCCAAGAGCTATCACATGTACAGGTGCATCGTGAGGTATGGATACAGGGACATGCGAACCGAGACGGCGTGGCTATTCGAGCAACTGCTGGTGGAGTGCCTGGAGAACTTTATCCGCCGCGAGGCTCGGGAGGAGGCTTTGGAACGAGCAGAGAATGCCGCCGCCGCCGCCAACAACGAGAGCTTGTGCACGCCGCTTCTGCTGAGAAGGGTGGAGTCCGGGGAGTTCGAGGAGGACTTGATGGTGGCGGACAACGACGAGGAGGCTGGCTCGTCCGTGAGCGAGGACGATTCTCTGGCGTTGCTGAGGAAGTGCCGAGAGACCGGGATCGTCTACTTACTCGGCCACGGCGACGTGAGAGCTCGAAAGGACTCGTTTTTCCTTAAGAAGCTTGTCATCAATTACTTCTACGCGTTCCTCCGGAGGAACTGCAAGCAGAGAGCCGAGACGCTCAACATTCCGCCCGGCCAGCTGCTGAGGATTGGGATGACTTATTTCGTATAAGGTAAAACGTTTGATATCGCGCAGAGCTTGTATAATGTATACTAACATTGCGGTTGCGGTTCCCTCGGTTTTAAAAAGGTGGCAGAGATGCAACTCTAAATGGCTTGCACATAACCAAAGGTAGAAGCATTAAGAGTAAGTACCTTTTTGTCGAAAAAGGGAAGTTCTCATGTATATATTTTACAGTAATGGGGCGGAGGAGGAAGACAACGATGGCTTTGCCACAAGAGGTTGTGGAGGAGATACTGCTCAAGCTGCCCTACTCGTCGCTCTTGGCTGCCAAGTGCGTTTGCAAGGCGTGGAAAGCAGCGATGGACAGCTCCAGCTTCAAGAGCAGCTACAGGGACAGTGCTAAGTTCTTCACGAAGGACAACTGCTTCGTGGACAGCAGCGGCAAGATGATGCGATGGGCGCCACGCGGTGATGGTCCGCAGCCCGACTGCCTGTGCGCGGTCTCGGAGGACAAGCGTTTCATGCTGGCCTGCTCCACACTCCAGAGGAGGCTGTACCTTGGGAATCCTTTCCTCAACCAGTGGGAAGAGATTCCGTTCGTGCTTTCGAGTGACTGGTCCAGGGCTTACATCTTCAACAGCAAGATCGTGGTGTGGGGCTTGGAAACTTTCACCTTCACACGCGGGGACAAAGATTGGTTCAGATTAGAAGAAGCCAAATACTCGGTAAACCCTGTGGTGATAGACAACAAGATGTTTTACATGAATCTTCTACGCACGAGAGTGACCGAGTTTGACACCACAACTAATAGCTTTTCCTATCGCGCCTTGCCCGGTGATGGCAGGAATCATCTCGTCTCTTGGAAATCCAAGCTCTATCTAGTGAATGTTAGTGCCCGCGAGCGTAAGGTCCAGATCTTGGAGTTTGATTTGAAAGTCGAAGAGTTTAACTTGAAACCTGGTGTGGTGAGCGAGTATGTGATCGATTTTGGTGATCTCAGGTTCACTGGTCAAGCTGGGAGCTACCTGAATTTTTGCTCCCACAAGATGAAGACCTACGTCTCCTACGACATGGATGCCGGGACTTGGGACAAGAACATCTACCGGCCTTTCTCGACACTTCTGCAAATACAGATATCGCTTGATTGGTCCAATGCTTGGTCAATAAGTTAAATCTAAGAGTCCCTGTGATATTTCGGCTGGATGGCGAGAGAGAAGTAGTGAAGGAGATCTTATAATCGAGATAACTACTGTGCTCTTGTAACTTGATTCATATCTTCACAGTTTACGATTATTTCTTACGCATGTCTCACCATCCTTGATGGATGTTTCCATGGAGCACATGAATCCTGATCTACCCATTTGTGTTCCACCCCAGGAACTCGTGCTGCTTGTGCGAAAAGTTCTTCACGTAGTGGCTGGTTCTTTGAGAACTTGAAGGATCCCGTTTCTTTTGTGGCTTGTCAAACTCCGAGCCTTTGTCCAGCTCCACACCGTTTGGCAATTCCGGCGATGGACACTGCCGCTGGAGATGACAGGTATCTGGCGGCTTGCCAGTTTTTGTATGAGATACACTGGCTTATCATGATCCTGACTGTAGCTCAACTTAAATTGCGACACAAAGCTACTGGAATTGTAACTTGCTTCCTTCCACGATTTGCTTCTCACACAGGGTAGTAACTCATTTCGTGAAGAGGTGCTAATCATGTTACTTCTAGTCTTGGCTACTTCTTTTGTTTCCCATCAAGCCTCTGAAGAAAACACAAAAACTGTTTTTTCTGAATCAGCAAAGTTTAAATGCTACAAACAGTCAGTATATGATCTTTCTAGCTTGCACTTACACCATCAATCGGTGTAGAAAGTTGTGTATGACCAGACAAAGCTCCGGAACCACCAGTGACCTCTGTTTTGTAATATATCTCCGCTCACTTCTTGCCTTGATGACGTTAGAGCCACCTTCTCTCCAGCCTGCCACCAAAGTTCTATCACTCCCTGAGCATCACGGAGTGTTAAGCCACCGGCTTCAAGTTTTGAT